CAGTGTCAAGAAGGGTTCACCCCCTGCCATCTCACGGGCCACTGTCCTTTGCATGTTGTGTTCATTCCTCTGGTGACTGTTGTTCCTTCAGGGATCATGTCTGCTCCAAAGGAAGAAACGTGAAAAGGGAAGAAGGGGAAGAGGAAAGAGCAAATTATTATCTAGAGTTATCTTTCTAGCAGTTCAAGAAAGATAATTCTTAACTTTGTATAGCATGAATTGAGTAAGGAGGGGCTAGAAGGTTCTTTGTACAAGTCCTTGCGTGTTGGGATAATAGCGTAGACTGAGGTAGTAATTATGAGAATTAACTGGAAAATATCAGTGAGGTGCCTTGAGCAGATATTCTTTTAATGATGTGAACACTAAATATTTTGTTTTTATAGTTTACTGACAGGTCATGCTTGCTTTTCTGGGCCTATAATAGTGACTTTAAGACCGCAGAGGTTTATTTTTCTACCTACTTTAAAGACTAGAACTTTTGTATAGTTGATTCTTTATGATAAGCAGTAAAAAAAAAAGATATGCTTGGTTTTAAAAACCGGCGTCGTCATTTCATGGGGTCACCTTGATTCCTGTGATTCTGTTCCATCATTTGTTCTGGCCCATGGCTCTACCCTTGAGGTTACTTCATGGTTCAAGAGACTGTTGTAGCCACAGCCATCACTTTTGAATCGGCTAGATGAAGGACCAAAGGGACTTCTGTCTGCTGAGTGAACTTCCTTTAAGCAGCCTTTCTCAAAATCCTTTCCACTTTACTTACTTCTTATTCCCAGAATTTGATTACATGGCCATACCTATTGCTAGGGTGGTTGAAAAATAGTCCTTATTTCAAGCCTCAATATGCTGGCTGAAAATCAGTGTTCTTTGCCAATGAGGAAGGGAAGAATAGGTATTAAGGAAGGCAAGCTAGCAAACTATGGCCCAGTGTGCGCTTAACACATGAAGGATGGGGTTTCCAGAGTTGTTTTGCATATTGCATCCTATCATTTCAGTGTTGCTATGAATTCTTAGTTACTCATTTTAGGGAACCACAAAAAACAATCATACTTCTAATTTGGATGACTTGGAAGCTGGTCTTTGTTTCACTTGGTGGGAATGCTTAGACCAGTGTTTCTCAAAGATAAGCCAAGAGATCTGTATCTATATAACACTTTAACAGTCTATTATTAATTGAAACTGATGGTCTTTGTAAGAAATAATTAAATAGAAATTAAGTGATCAAGTTTTCTATTAAATTATATTTAAGACAAAAAAGCTCAGTTTGAAGAAATTATTGACTGGGTGTGGTGACTCATGCATGTAATCTCAGCACTTTAGGAGGACGAGGTGGGAAGATAGGGGAGGACGAGGGCTCGTTTGAGCCCACGAGTTCAAGTCTAGTCTGGGCAACATAGCGAGACCTTGTCTCTACAAAAATTTTTTTAAAAAGTTAGCCAGATGTGGTGACACACACCTTAGTTCCAGCTATTTTGGGAGGCTGAGGTGGAAGGATCACCTGATCCTGGGAGGTCCAGTCTGCGGTGAGCCGTGATTGTGCCATTGCACTCAAGCCTGGGTGACAGAGTGAGACCCTAACTCAAAGAAATAAAACAAAATAGTATGTGGTCTTGGGAAACACTGACTTAAGCAATGCTCATTGGAGGGAAATTGGAATAGATGAGTTTGCTGGCTCAGTTTATGCCATCTTTCTATTCATAATAGGGAAGAACTTATTTTTCTTATTTAACACATTCTCATGGTTGAAAAATGCAGAGTAAAAAGAAAAAGTACTCTTTTTTCTGTCTTTCCTTAATACCCCGGAAGAATTACAAACAAACTTTTTATTTGAGATGGTATGCCTTGGTTAGCTTTCTAAAATGAATGATGAAGAATTGACTCAGACAAGATGAGGTGATCCTTCCACCTTGGCCTCCCAAAATAGCTGGGACTAAGGTATGTGTCACCACATTTGGCTAACTTTAAAAAAAATTTTTTGTAGCGACAAGGCCTCGCTATGTTGCCCAGACTAGTCTTGAACTCCTGGGCTCAAGCGAGCCCTCATCGTACCTCGTCTTCCCGCCTCGTTCTCCTAAGGTGCTGAGAGATTACATACATGAGTCACTGTGCCCAGCCAATATTTTCTTCAAACTGATCTTTTTTGTCTTAAATATAATTTAATAGAAAACTTGATCACTTAATTCCTATTTAATTATTTCTTACAAAGACCATCAGTTTCAATTAATAACAGTGAGAAGCGCACTGTTATTTTATATAAAAATTGTTGAATTTGATTGGGGGATTTTTCTGTCCAGCTACAGCTGCTATCTCTGCTACTGTTGTTGGAAGATATATAACTTTAAGACAAAGAAAACATATTTAAAAGCAAAACAATCCTTGTCCTCTTGTCTTAAATAAACATTTATTTTTTTTCATATTCATTCAGTAAAACTTTTTATTTTATAAATGGCTGCGGTTTGACAGAAAACTTGATCATTTTATACATTGTTGCAAATGCATTACCTATCATGTGACTTGGAGAATTAAAGGATTTGTCCTCTCCTTTACTGGAAAAATGATGCTTTATTCCCCATTGGCCGGCCATTATATGTAACACTGATTATTGAATTACAGTGGTGGTATAGAGATGACTAAGAGAGGTGCTGGGTTTCCAGTTTCATTGTTTATTTCTTTGTGTTCATTAACACTTTTTGTACTTCTCTATTTTTTCAGGAAAAAAGTTATTTGTGAGACAATATTTGACTTATATGCAACTGTTCAGTGTTGGGTTTGGTTTTGAGATGTATTAAGAATGGAAAACTCAGATTTTTATCTAAAAATATCAGAGAGAAAATTCTTAATATTTGTACAACTTAAAATGATATTGTTTCTGCTTAATATTTAAAGTCCTAACCATGAAATGAGCGATTTATAGAATCTCTGATATCCAGAGTGGGTCTAATACGTCATTGTATTCTTGATAGTCGTGCACATAATGTTTCTTTCTTTCTTTTTTTTTTAAAGCAGTATTTATTGAGAGGACAGAAAAGCTCCCAGAATGGGAGGGGACTCGAGGGGTTGCCTCACATAATGTTTCTAAAGACTTTGTTTGATTTAAATTTGATAGTTGCTAGCAGGAGGTAGGAAAAAATGTTCCTGCAAGGAGCATAAAGCCACATTTTTTTGAGGAGTATGTTTAGTATCTCATTCTTAACTAATGTTGGTCTACTTCAGTGTAATAGGTTTAAGAGGAATCTTGGGAGCTTCCAGTTTTTAAAATGATAAGTAACAATACTTCTGGCCTTTTATTTCTTGGACATTCTCTCTAAATTAGAAGAATGAGAGGCTGAAGGATCTCTGGAACCCAGCAGGTCAAGGCTATGGTGGCTGTGAGTATGCCACTGCACTCTGGCCTGGGCAACAGACTGAGACTAAAAAAATAAAAATAAAAAATAGAAGAATGAAAAACAGAAAGCTCCATTTTGACGTAACTGGGGAACTTCTGTCACCCCTCGCCACCAGTCACAGCAGTTTAAGGTGGTGGAGTGGTAACTGACTTCATGGGACAGACATCTGAGTCTCACAGAGGGGCCACCATGGACAAGCAAGCAAGTTTGTGTCCTGGACCCCAGAGCAGCATAGGAATTGGAAGTGTCAGGTACCTCAGGCACTGAGCCAGATGTGTTGAGACTTGGGAAATTGGGCAGACAAGGGCAGAGGTGAGACACCTGACTGAGAACAGAATAAGTAAAAAGTCTACAAACTAATAGCCGCCCAACTGCCCAGCAGCCAGAAGACAGGAATTGGAGAAGACTTTTGAAAAAATACTAAAGGACCCCAGACAAGAAAAAATTACTGACTTTTGTGGATTCCCCAATAGAAAAACTAGTTTGCCCATTGATTTCCCTATAGTGAAAGCCACAATATAATCATCCTGCCTATGAATTCTAGTCGATATTTTAATTCTTCCAAGATGATAGAGACCAAAACAATCAAGAAAAACAAAATATAAGGAGTAGAAAAAAATGGAAATAAACTATGATTAATGTCCTCAGAGATAAGAGAAGATAATGGATCTATAATAAGAACAAAATGCTGCTGAGAGAAAGAGAGAGAGAGAGAATGCATGCATGTGAAAGAACAATCACAATATGGAAGAGTTCTTCAAAATTAAATAATTGACATCCTCAATTTAAAAAGTAAATAGACAATTTGGAAGACATAGTTGAAGAAATTTACAGGAAAGTAGAACAAAAAGAAAAATAAGATTTTTTTTTTTTTGAGTCGGAGTCTCACTCTGTCGCCCAGACTGGAGTGCAGTGACCGCTCCCGGCCACCGCAGCCTCGACCTGCTGGGCTGCGGCGATCCTTCCGCTCAGCCTTCCAAGTAGCTGGAACTACAGGCACGCGCTACCACACCCGCTTAACTTTTTGATTTATTGTAGAGATGAGGTCTCACCAAGTTGCCCAGGCAGGTCTCAAACCCGCGGGCTCAGGCAATCCACTCACCTCAGCCTCCCAAGGTGCGGGATTATAGGCTGAGCCACTGAGCCCGGCTGAAAAGTAAGCTTAATAGAGAAACTGAAGTTCAAATTCTGATTGATAGGAATTCTAGAAAGAGCAAAGTGTGGAGAAGATACTATCAAAGAGTTAACATAACATTCCAGAACTGAAGGTGTAAACGTTAAGGCCCATCTCTGCCTGGTACACTCATTCCAGGGCCTATTATTATTGTTATTATTATTATTACCTAAAGATTAAATAATAATCCTCAAAGCCCCACTGACAAAAAACCAGGACATGTACAAATGATCTGAAATCAGAATGGTGAAACACTTTAAACAATGTCTGTGCTAGGAGACAATGTAGAGTTGTTTAAAATTTTTGTGTTGCAGCCGGGCTCGGTGGCTCAGCCTGTAATCCCGCGCCTTTGGGAGGCTGAGGTGAGTGGATGGCCTGAGCCCGCGGGTTCGACACCCGCCTGGGCAGTGAGACCCCATCTCTACAATAAATCAAAAAGTCAGCCGGGTGTGGTAGTGCATGCCTGTAGTTCCGGCTACTCGGAAGGCTGAGGCGGAAGGATCGCCGGAGCCCAGCAGGCGAGGCTGCAGTGGCCGGGAGCAGCCACTGCACTCCAGTCTGGGCAACTGAGTGAGACTCCAACTCAAAAAAAAATAAAATAAAATTTTTGTGTTGCAAATGATTTTCTGCTTAGAATTTTGTACCTAGTAAACTTATTATGTGCGAAGTTACAATATCCACTCTTTTTAAAAAAAGATACGCAAAATTTTAAAAAGTGTTGTCTCTTACACCATCACATAAGGCGACGTAATGACTAAATGTAATATGATATCCTAAATGGGATGCTAGGTCAGAAAAAGGACATTCAGTAGCAAATAAGTAAATCTAAATAACATGTGGACTTTAGTTAATTGTATTAATATTGGTCCCTGAATTGCAGCAATGTACTACAGTAATGAAAGACATTAGCGATAACAGAAACTGGACTTAGAGTATAGCTAACGCTCTGTATAATTGACCCTAAAACAACAGGAGTTTGACTTGCTCAGATACATTGATTACCCCTGAGACGGCAAGACCAACCCCTCTTTTCCTTTGCCACCTCAGCCTACTCAATGCAAAATCAATGAGAATGAAAACATTTATAATGACCCACTTAATGAATAGTAAATATATTTTCCTTATGGTTTTTTAAATAACATTATTGTTTCTCTAGCATACTTTATTATAAGAATACAATATATAATACACATAGCATACAAAATATCTGTTAATCGACTGTTTATGTTATTCATAAGGCTTCCTGTCAACAGTAGGTTATTAGTAGTTAAGTTTTGGGGAATATACATTTTTGGCTGTGCATGATGCTGGTACCCTCAACCCCAGGGATGTCCAAGGGGCAATTGTATGTTTATCTAACGACAGTAATTTTTTCTTTTTTTTTTGAGTTGGAGTCTCA